TTATTGCAAATGGATATTTATCAAAAAGATTTAAAAGTCATATGCACGTTTTATGTATACTCTCTGAACAACGGAACACGAAGATGATAGTGAAGTGGAATTTCGTCATGCTTTAATTCTACACATTTTCGACATTCTTCTTTTTATTTATATCCTAACAAAATATGTGTCACTTCAAAATTAGTCTGTATATAACATATTTTTACGTAATTTTCAAATCAATTTTCAAATAGCAATTTAACATTTTGAAACATGATTACCATGTCTAGTCCATGGTATGGCTCCCGAATATGACGAATCCATAGCATAAAATAGGGGGCAACATTTGAAACAATATTTAAGGAGCCCATAGATCCTGATTATTTTAAAATGCGTTTGCTGAAAAAACTATCGAAATATGTTGCTCATCATAAGGGGTCAAAAAGCGTAAACATTTCCATTCGAGTTTGTACACCTAAGACTCGAAACGTTGATCTAAGCATTTTTACAATAAATTCTATTAACCATCATAAAAATTATCAACTACAATTTTGTGAGGGACGTTTTGTCCAAAATAAATAAACAAGAGAAATTTATAAAATATTTTATATTATATCATATATTATATCAGTCAACTTCCTCATTGATCATGTATAATTTGCACAACTACCTTAATGCTCAACTGCTATGTTGCACAACTACCTTAACGCCCAACTACTATGTTGCACAATTATCTTAACACAACTGCTATGTTGTTGTACAACTACCTTAAAAGAGTGACAACTACCTTTAAAATATAAATTACAAAAGAGTGACCAGTCTGCCAGTGCAGTACTGTTGGTGGAATGCCTAAAAATATAAAATTCACATCATAAGTTGATACGTAGCAATAAAGTAAAATGTCATTAAAATGCAGATTAATGTTTAATGTTTTAATTGATAAAACCATATTTGTGATGGGGATTAAGTAATATATGAATGAATCTTTATTTCCCCACACAATGCCTGAAGCATTATATAAACATCAAAACACATGAGGCATTACTTGTTCAATATGGTCAATAGGGTCAAGTTGACCTTACAAAATGTCGTATTGACCTTACACATACTACACATATAAATCAAATAACAAGAGTGGAATTTTACCTGACAATAACGCTACTTGGGCTGTGAGTGTTGGCATATGGTAAAGTAAGTCAGCTAGGAACTCACCTAAAATGTACATTTGAACCTAAGTGAAAATGTTGTAAACATAAACAAAAGAATGAAATCCAATATGGCTGATGTTGAGATTTGCAAAATATCTTGAGTCTTTCCTTAAACTCCTAATAACTTCAAAATTACAAAGGTATATAAAAAATACCTATTTCAACATAGAGATTATATATTAATCTTTAAAACTAACTATATGAATAATATACTGAGACAATAAAACTTGTTTAGAAATTGTACAAAGTATGGGAAAATATTTACCACATCCAGAAGATCCAAAAGCAGGCCCAACACTAAAGTACATCATGTGACCTAGATCATGTGATACAGTAGTTACTAAACCTTTTTAAAGGTGGCATATCAGTACAGTCTCAGTATGTGCTGTGTTGAGAAGTAGTATACATTGGGTAGGAATAATCAGTTATACCAACAATATTTAATATTTGAAAGTATTTATAAAAGTGCATGTCACAATTTTAATGTAAATGTTTAGTTATTAATTAGTGTATTTACATAAGGGTTTTTTAAATCAGAGTTTTTTAAGTTTTTCTTTAAATCTTCAAATATTGGTCAAGCAGATTTAACCGAACTGTGTCAATTATTTCATAAATTCATAATTTCAAACATGTCAGGGTTTTTGATATTTGAAAAAATATCTAAACAATTTATCCCTCTCATCGCCAGGAGTCAAATAAGAAATAATTGCCAATCAAATCAAAATAATTTTTTCATTAAAGTTTTTCGAAGTCGACCAGGTCTTGGTGGTTATTTTATAAACAACTGTGTAATATCTAACTAGGACCTGTTCTGTAAATAATGAAAACATTTTGCTGAATAGGCTATCACTAGCAATCAAATATTATATATGCGAAACAATTTAATGAGATAAATCCCAACTTGGACGAGACTCAATTCGAAAATATTATGTTTTTATCTAAACCAGAACTTTGGGGTATGACTGTTGCGAATGTCTGAATGAATGAAGGTGCTGTGAAAGTGGTTTTATATATTATCCTTGCCTTGTAAAATGTATTATTTCATGTTTAAATCAATAAAAAAATTAAAAATAAATAATAATAAAAATGAATTGAGATTTCATTTACAAAACAATTTCTAAATCGAAGAAACGTATTAAAACTAAAATATATTTTCTGCTTTGTGCCAAATTATAATCTGCAACTTGGCTTATAAGTAGGTTTAAATCGAGGAAACAAGAAACTCGTAACCAGGAAGTTCATCCATTTTGTTACATAGACGTTCAGTCAAAGGAGCTAGTTGTCGAACAGTAAATTGGGCGTCCTGGGAATTTCATACCATGGCCTTTTTCAGGTATGCTGTTTATGCACAATCCTAATATAATATACCATGTAAATATCGTATTTCCTAAACAATTAGATAGATGCCCTCGTGTGGTTCTGAGCCCTTCTCGAGGATGGCTGAAATTACAGTACATCATTGTAATTTTTCTCAATCGTTCTCAATCGTTTCAGAACGTGTTTTAGAAGATTCAATCCAAGCGCTCATATCCCATAAGATAATTTGAACATGCATGTGTCATTTTGATAATATTATTTTGGAAAACAATTGAACAATGTAAGGCCCCTTTAAACTCAAAATGATTGACTGAGTTATTTACACACACATAGAGGTATGTTAATGTGTGTATATATCGGAATCAACGTCTACAAACATCATGAAATATATGTGTTCCACTCGGGTTAATACTTTTCTATAATACATCGGGTGTCCCAAAAAATGAGCCACTTTTCGACAATTATTACCAAAATGTGCCAAAAAATGAGAAGCTCTTAATTTCTCAACAATAGATAAGTCATATTCTTTGAAAACTTTAACTACTTTTTCGTATTTAGTTATAATATTTTGTCACAATATCACCTTCAATGAATTTAGAGAATGAATATGATATTTGGAATGAAAGAAAAGAATTAATCAGACTTCACTCGGCTCCCATTGAACGCAGTGAAGACCGAGCACGCGAAGATGATAGCTCGTACAAATACTATAGAGGTCTCATATCAGAAATCCGGTATGGGGATTTTCGACATTCTCTTTTGAATTTCTTAGCTTTCACAGAATATTTACTTGATCTTTCTTATATTTATACAACTTGCTAATGATAGTCCTAAGCTACTTTGTACTTTTCAGTAAATTTGGTTTATCGGTTACCCCCCTATCACACCAAACTAGTTCTTACCCGTTCTTGCCAGTCCTACGAAAACGTCGTAAAACGGGCTTAATCTGGCTGTTGTCGGGAAATATGTCTAGAATAATTAGCTACTTCATAAACAGTCTTCAATACGTCCATATCATTCGCAGTTCGATCAGGTCGCACCACGTTGGTCTGCAACGTCGTATAAACGCGTCCCTTAGTCTAGAAGGTCATCATGACCTTGTTACAGAACGGTATGGTCGCCATCGAATTTTGAATCATTTCAAATTCCAAAATCACCTTTCCGTCTGAGAATGTTCATGAAGTTATTAAATAGACCTTAGAACGTTGCAGCTACGTTCATTCCGTTCGCACACAGTTTAAAACCAGTTTTGAAGAACGCAGTGGAAACTTGGTGTGATAGCTATATTTTTGCTAACTCGTTCATAAGCAATCTTTAATACGTTCGTAATCAGTTTAAACCCGTTTGCAATTAGTTCTACCTCGTTCTCAATACGTCCTCAGATAGTTCAACTCGTTGTTAAAACGTCCCTAGTAGGATTGAAGTACGACGGTTTCGTTCGTAGTACGTCCAGCTCGTCGTTAGTACGTTGTCACTCGTTCTAATTGTAGAACATATCGACCATGAGAACATTTTGAACATGTTCTAAGATCTAGAGGACCTACCCGTACGTTCGGTAAATAGACCCCAAACGGTTCTAAATACGTCTAGTCCGTTTGTGCACAGTTGAAACCCGTTTTCGAGAACGTAGTGAAAACTAGTTTGGTGTGATAGTAGGGTAACCGAGATAATGCTTGTCTAAAGGGTCTCGTTTGAGACACCCGATCTATTCATATAAAACGTTAATTTTATACAAAATACATTTATACCAGATGTACATTGAGCAACTCATAAATATTTTCATATCATTATTCGTGCAACTGTTTCCATTAATTTTTATGAGATTGTTAGATGAATCATACGGGCTAATTGCTTCGTATAGACACATTGCTGTATTACTGTGGATTAACTTGTTAAACGTGGCTTTACATTTTAGCTATGTATATGCGAAACCTGGTGGGATCAGAATTCGATATCCAAAAGTTTTAGAAAGACATAAAACGACGATAAAATTTCATTTTGTTATTGACTATTTAATAGAAAAGCAGGTGTTATATGGAGATATCTGATGAAACAAACATCAAAGCATCTTTATTTGCCTCTGCGGCAATTGATTGTATCATGAGACTCCATTAATTAATTGAACGGAAGTATACTTTTGTACAAATAACTTGTAATTGGATCGAAGTCGAGAGCTAAATAAATAATTAATCAAACGATGGTTCTGCTCTGTTACTGCATTTGTTGAATCAGTGAATAGCAAAGGATGTTTATTGATGGAACGTGTGATTGTTGAATAACAACAACCAGCAGAAGGATGGCCACATGTGAATTGAATACATTGCTGGATAATATGGATAACCATCACTAAGTATATTGGGTATGATAACAGATGTAACGTCTGCACCTACTAAAATGAAAGAATGAACCCCATTTTGGATAAATTTGGGACAAACTAGACCTGAACAGTGATATTCTACAGTAAATGGTCAATGTGCAGTGAACATAACATTCTGCTGTCATGGCGTTTCTGGCTTTGTATCTCCCTACCGTTGTCATGGTAGCGGGAGTTGTCCTAATGACTTTTCACGTTGAAGCTTTATACAATGACTCCCTCACGCCAGAACTGTTCCTGATGAAATATTTGATGACAGACTACAACGCCAATGTACGTCCGGTGAAAAACACATCTGAAGCCACCGTGGTAACCATAGACATTGCATTGACTCAAATAGCGGACGTGGTAGGTTCATCTAATTTCAATTATTTTTTCCTGTGCGTCTAGCTGTCATAACTTCAAATACATGATTTTATCCCATTCGCACCAAAGCGGATAGTGTTATTATTAACACAAATGCAATCCATTTGGTAATGAGAATTCATATATAATTACATTTTGTCAACAATATTGAGAATAAATATAACTATTAATATATATCATGAAGGCTTGTCAAATCAAATGAGGGTTGTTCCCCAAGTTTTAAGTCTGTTAATTCATTTCTACCTCTGTAATGCATAAACAATTCGTTATGGGTATTAGGACAAATAAACGCCAAGTGCCAATAGCTTGCCAAGTGACCATTCTTTAAAAACAAAAAAGGATGTGCTTTACTTTTGATGCAACCATACATTCTTCAAAATAAACTACAGCTCATTATATTGTGTTGCTGCCTAACTGGGGTTTAGGCGTAATACACATATTGCTTGGAATCCTACATTGCTCCCTTTGTAGTAACATGTATGTGGCTTTTAATCCGTTGTATTCGATATGCAAGTGTATGCATCCTCTCTCATATGGAATATTAAAGCTATTATTAATGAATTATTAATTGAATATTGCCCTAATAAATAAACGATTAACTACGGGTATAATGTTTCATATAGAAAACTACAAATGAGTGAGAAGTGAAAAAGTAAAATCACCCTTTAAGCAGGTGTACGTCGGTAAACAATCTTGACATTTTTAGAAATACAATGTGGACATCTGATCAGAGTTCTTGAAGATATAGCGATAAGCAAACGTGTGTGACAGTGTATGCATAGCGTTTTGGTTTAGTACATGTAGTGTGTGAAATAATGATGATGATAGACAAATCGTCGAGTCCATTAACTTATTAAATAATGCAATCGTTCCATGACTTTAATTTTCTCATCTTTGTAAATTGTTTGCAGAGCGAGAAACATCAAACAATTATGACATCAGTATGGCTTAGATTCGTAAGTATATTCATAAAATCCAAAAGGGTTGCCAGATTTCAACGGTTGGTGAGAAAGCGCAAGATGGATAAAATGGGGGGGGGGGGGGGGGGGAAGGGGGATTTACTCCGAAAATTTTGTAGTGTCCAATTTGCCATTAGGGATATACAGGGTGTTAAAAAAAACGCAACCCAAAGAAATTGCAATATCTTGAAAAATACTAGTTCAATTATGTTCATTTTTCAGGAAAGAAAGAAGAGACTGTGTATGCATAGCTCCTGTAAATGGTTAGTTGTAAAACATGATGCCTTAGACACCTGCTCAAAAGACAGTTGTACTAGGAAAATACAAAAAAAAACAGTCAGGGCCGACTGCAACCGCAAAAAAACTAAATAACTTCCTAGCCATAGTGTTTTGGCTCTTCAAATTTGGCACAAATCATCTTCATTCACTGTATGGTAAATCTGTTAAGTGAAATTAAAATCTCTTCAGGGACTTTACAGTTATGGTCGAAATGCTTTCAAATCTCAGTCAAACGACCTGGTTCCGGCAGACTTCAGAAGGCATTTTGACCATGACTGTAAAGTCCCTGAAGTGATTTTAATGAAACTCCACAAATTCACCACACATTGAATGAGGATAATTTGTGCGAAATCTGAAGTGCGTAAACACTATGGTTAGAAAGTTGTTAGGTTTTATTGCTGTGGCAGTCACCTCTGACTGCGTTTTTCGTATTTTCCTAGAACAACTGTCCTTTGGGCAGGTGTCAAATGCATCGTGTTTTACAACTTCCTAACAACAGGAGCTATACATACATAACATTTCCTTTCTTTTCCTGAAAAAATGAACATAATTGAATTAGTATTTTCCAAGATATAGTGATTTTCCATTCGCGTTTTTCGTATTTTCCATGCACGACTGCCTTTTGAGCAGGTGTACAAGACATCACGTTTTACAACTAACTAACAACAGGAGCTATACATACACAGTCTCTTCCTTCTTTCCTGAAAATATGAACACAATTGGATAATAACTTTCCAAGATATAGCGACTTCTTTGGGTTGCGTTTTTTCTGTACATGTACATGTAGATATATGTAAATCTTTTGAAAACTCATTCTAACGAACCGGATGAGTGTCTGTTCGGAGCATTCTATACATTACATGGAAGCTTCTCTACATGCACATTCGCGACCAATGCAAAAAGATCTGACACACATGATTAGAAATACATGATAGACTACACTATACAAGATCTTGTCAAAATAAGTTTCCTAAAAAGTGGTATTCTTGCCTTGGTTATACTGGACATTTATTTTATTCTACGTTCAATTGTCTCATAAAATATGCTTACTCGTACTTATTCATTTTCACAAAACGAATGATTCTTTTTAGACGTGGGAGGACTATTTTCTAAAATGGAATGAATCTGACTATGGAGGTGTGAAAACAATTCATCTAAAGCCAGCAGATGTTTGGATCCCAGATATCACCTTATACACAGAGTAAGTTAATCGCATATGTCACCATATACACAGAGTAGTTAATCGCATATGTCATCTTATACACAGAGTAAGTTAATCGCATATGTCACCTTATACACAGAGTAAGTTAATCGCATACGTCACCTTATACATAGAGTAAGTTAATCGCATATGTCACCTTATACACAGAGTAAGTTAATCGTATATGTCACCTTATACACAGAGTAAGTTAATCGCATATGTCACCTTATACACAGAGTAAGTTAATCGTATATGTCACCTTATACACAGAGTAAGTTATTATCATATCTCACCTTATACACAGAGTAAGTTGATCGTATATGTCACCTTGTACACAGAGTAAGTTAATCTCATATGTCACCTTGTACACAGAGTGAGTTAATCGCATATGTCACCGTATACACAGAGTAAGTTAATCGCACATGTCACCTTACACGCAGAGTAAGTTGATCGCAGATGTCACCTTATACACAGAGTAAGTTATTCGGATATGTCACCGTATACACAGAGTGAGTTAATCGCATATGTCACCGTATACACAGAGTAAGTTAATCGCACATGTCACCTTACACGCAGAGTAAGTTGATTGCAGATGTCACCTTATACACAGAGTAACTTAATTGCATATGTCACTTTATACACAGAGTAAGTTAATCGCATATGTCACCTTATACACAGAGTAAGTTAATCGCATATGTCACCTTATACACAGAGTAAGTTAATCGCATATGTCACCTTATACACAGAGTAAGTTAATCTCACATGTCACCTTATACACAGAGTAAGTTAATCGCATATGTCACCTTATACACAGCGTAAGTTAATTGCACATGTCTTATTATACACATAATAAGTTAATCCCATATGTCATCTCGTTCACAGAGTAAGTTAATCGCATATGTCACCTTATACACAGAGTAAGTTAACCGCAGATGTCACCTTATACACAGAGTAAGTTCATCGCAGATGTCACCTTATACACAGAGTAAGTTATTCGGAAATGTCACCTAATACACTGAGTTAGTTAATAGCATATGTTACCTTATACACATAGTAAGTTAGTTGCATATGTCACCTTATACACAGAGTAAGTTAATCGCACATGTCTTGTTATACACAGAGTAAGTTAATCCAATATGTCACCTCATACACAGAGTAAGTTAATCACATATGTCACCTTATACACAGAGTAAGTTAATCGCACATGTCAGCTTATACACAGAGTAAGTTGATCGCAGATGTCACCTTATACACAGAGTAAGTTATTCGGATATGTCACCTTATACACAGAGTAAGTTAATATCATATGTTATATTATACACATAGTAAGTTAATTGCATATGTCACCTTATACACAGAGTAAATTAATCGCATATGTCACCTTATACACAGAGTACGTTAATCACATATGTCACTTTATACACAGAGTAAGTTAATCGCATATGTCAAACTTCCAAGCTAATTGAGTTAATGTTTTACTTTTTACAAGAATATTTCACTGTACTCTTACGCAGAGTAAGTTGATCGCAGATGTCACCTTATACACAGAGTAAGTTATTCGGATATGTCACCGTATACACAGAGTGAGTTAATCGCATATGTCACCGTATACACAGAGTAAGTTAATCGCACATGTCACCTTACACGCAGAGTAAGTTGATTGCAGATGTCACCTTATACACAGAGTAACTTAATTGCATATGTCACTTTATACACAGAGTAAGTTAATCGCATATGTCACCTTATACACAGAGTAAGTTAATCGCATATGTCACCTTATACACAGAGTAAGTTAATCGCATATGTCACCTTATACACAGAGTAAGTTAATCTCACATGTCACCTTATACACAGAGTAAGTTAATCGCATATGTCACCTTATACACAGCGTAAGTTAATTGCACATGTCTTATTATACACATAATAAGTTAATCCCATATGTCATCTCGTTCACAGAGTAAGTTAATCGCATATGTCACCTTATACACAGAGTAAGTTAACCGCAGATGTCACCTTATACACAGAGTAAGTTCATCGCAGATGTCACCTTATACACAGAGTAAGTTATTCGGAAATGTCACCTAATACACTGAGTTAGTTAATAGCATATGTTACCTTATACACATAGTAAGTTAGTTGCATATGTCACCTTATACACAGAGTAAGTTAATCGCACATGTCTTGTTATACACAGAGTAAGTTAATCCAATATGTCACCTCATACACAGAGTAAGTTAATCACATATGTCACCTTATACACAGAGTAAGTTAATCGCACATGTCAGCTTATACACAGAGTAAGTTGATCGCAGATGTCACCTTATACACAGAGTAAGTTATTCGGATATGTCACCTTATACACAGAGTAAGTTAATATCATATGTTATATTATACACATAGTAAGTTAATTGCATATGTCACCTTATACACAGAGTAAGTTAATCGCATATGTCACCTTATACACAGAGTACGTTAATCACATATGTCACTTTATACACAGAGTAAGTTAATCGCATATGTCAAACTTCCAAGCTAATTGAGTTAATGTTTTACTTTTTACAAGAATATTTCACTGTAAAATGTTCGCCTGTCTTATGCCTTATGACGCCTACGATGGAATTAAATTTTTGAAATTGTATTGTCTAATTCAAGAAGAATATATTCCATCCATAACTAAACAGTTGTCAAGATAACACGAAACACAAAAAAATGAAACGTACATATCGACTTTCACTTGTATAATCTGTTTTCTATAGCGTTACAGGTCAGTACTATGAGACTAAGGAATTCCGAGTAAAAGTGACGAGTGACGGAACAGTTCAGTGGAAAATTCCGACGAAGTTTGTCAGTTCATGCAAGATGAAGGTCCACAACTTCCCCTACGACGTCCAGACATGTACACTTAAGTTTGGATCGTGGGGTTTTGGAAGTACAGAAATAGATCTACAGAATAAGTCAAACTCTGCTGATCTGTCTGAATATGAACCAAGCGGAGAATGGGAATTACTGTCCACTGACGCTATACGGCATTCCATAATGTATAACTGTTGTACGGAACCTTACATTGACGTTACGTACTACATCAACATTAAACGGAAGCCTCTCTATTACACCTTCAACGTGATCTTGCCCTGTATGTTCATAGTGATCATCTCGCCATTTTCGTTCCTCGTGCCCCCAGGATGTGGCGAGAGGATACAATTAAGCACAACGTTGTTTTTATCTCTCACAGTTTATATGCTATTTGTTGCCGAACAACTTCCAGTTCAGTCTGAGGATGTACCTTTAGTAGGTGAGCAAAATATTACATACGTGAGTCATATCTTAGAACGTAAAAGTAGTGTAAAAAATTTATACGTTATTTAAAGTTCAATTCTTAGTACTACTCGTAAGTAAGCCCATGGATGAGTTTTCTTCATCCTAGGCAAGCCCGGAAAAGAGTTATATCATGATAAATGTAGAAATAGTTAAAGTATATGATGATTTAGTCTCAACGATATTTGTGTTCATAATTGACACACTTCTACCTACTTGCTTGAACGAAATTCGTATGGTCCTACATATAGTCCCTGATCTGGTACCTCAAAACAGGTTTCGTTGCCGGTACTTTCCCACAAAAACTACTTTATATCGTTTGATTGATCAGACTGCCCTCATAAAGAAAGCACCTCTTATATTGATAGAAACAGGGGCAAAGGCACTAAAATGGGATCAGACAAGGTGGCATTCTGAAGTCTCACTTTATTGTCATCGCTATTTCAGGAAAACCAAACGGATTTACTTCAAATTTTCACACATGTTACAATTCAATGTTACAAAGTAAGATGTTCTAGAGCAAATGGCTTTTTGGCGGCCATCTTGGAAGTTTTTAGATAATCCTGTCATCCTGATTCTAGGAAAATCACTTAACAAATTTACTTTATATTTTCACACATGTTATATGGTAAGAAGTCCTAGAGTTCATTAGTTTTTAGGTGGCCATTTTGCATTCTGGCGGCCATCTTGAGAGTTTTAAGATAAATCTTGTCATCGCTATTTCAGGAAAACCAAACGGATTTACTTCAAAGGAGGAGGGAAATTAATTTCTTTTAAGGGATTAACTGTGTGTCAAAACGCAACATATTGATGCAAGAAAAATTAAAAAAAGCAAGGATGGAAGGGGTTGAAAATCAGGAAAACATTTCAGAAAAACATGTGGGTGGGTTGTTTGCATCTACCCTGTCTCAAAGTCGAAATTATTTTATCATCTTTAGAAGTGATTTTCCTGGAGGTAAAACATTCGCCTAACATATGCACCTGTTTAAATCCCCAGGAAATGGCCAAAATCAAACATATGACTGTCCAAAATCTGTTGCACTAACTTCCCTCCTCCTTTGCACACATGTTACATGGTAAGAGGTTCTAGAGCTGATTAACTTTTCGGTGGCCATCTTGCATTCTGGCGGCAATCTTGGAAGTTTTTAGATAAATCTTGTCATCGCCATTCCAGGAAAACTACAGATTTACTGTACAGATCTACAGATCTCGATGAAATTGGATCGTGAATCGCCACAATATAGCCGCTTCGATATCGTCAATGACAATGGAATCTGAATTTGAAGTAAAATATGTCTTTGTAAATTATCTCAAATTCAGATTCCGTTGTCATTGATGATATCAAAGACCCTATATTGTGGAGATTCACGACCCAATTTGATTGAAATTGGGATTTTATATGATACATCATCACAAGAGCTTGATACATGCACAGAATTAGCGACGATAAAGTCCCATGAGGTGGACCAAGTGATTGAAGAGTTGATGTGAGGTTATGTCCACCATTTGTGACAACGGTATCTGTCTTTGCCTTTGTCAGGCTATTCCTCTGTGTTCTTACCATGTAACATGTGTTAAGATTTGCAGTAAATATTTTGAGTGGTTTTCCTTGAATCGGGATGACAAGATTTATCTAAAAACCTCCAAGATGGCCGCCAGAATGCTAGATGGCCGCCGAAAAGGTAATCAGCTTTAGAACGTCTTACCTTGTAACATGTGTGGAAATTTGAAGTAAATCCGCTTGGTTTTCATGAAATCGTGATGTCAAGATTTACCTTTAAACTTCAAAGATGGCCACCAGAATGCAAGATGGCCATCGGAAAACTAATGAGCTCTGGGACTTTTTACTATGTAACATGTGTGAAAATTTGAAGTAAATCCATGATGTGGTTTTCTTGAAATCGCGATGACAAGATTCAACTAAAAACTTCCAAGATGGCCACTAGAATGCAAGATAGCCGCCGGAAATTTAATCAGCTCTAGAGCTTTTTACCATGTAACATATGTGTGAACGTTTGAAGTAAATCCATTGAGTGGTTTTCCTGAAATCGCTATGACAAAATTTATCTAAATACTTCCATGATGGCCACCAGAATGCAAGATGGCCACCGAAAAGTTAATCAGCTCTAGCACATCATACTATGCAACATGTGTGAATATTTGAAGTAAACCCGTTAAGTTGTTTACCTCGAATCACGATGACAAGATTTATTTAAAAACTTCCAAGATGGCCGCCAGAAGTCAAGATGGCTGCTGGAAAGTTAATCAACTCTAGAACTTCTTATCATGTAACATTGTGCGCAAATTCGAAGTAAATTCGTTTGGTTGACCTGAAATCGCGATGACAAGATTTATCTTAAAACTTTCAAGATGGCCACCAAAAACTAATGAGCTCTAGGACTTCTTACAATATAACATGTGTGAAAATTTGAAGTGCATCTTTTAAGTGGTTTTCGTGGAATAGGGATGCCAAGATTTTTCTAAAAACTTTTAAGATGGCCGCCTGAATGTAAGATGGCAGCCAAAAAGTGAATTAGCTCTAGAACTTTTTACCATGTAACATGTGTGAACATTTTAAGTAAATCCGTCTGGTGGTTTTCCTGGAATCGTGATTACAAGAAAGTGAGACTTCAGAATGCCACCTTGTCCAACCCCATTTTATTGCCTCTTGCCCCTGTTTATATCAATAGAAAACACCTTTCTATATGGGGTAAGTATTTTCTTTCAAACGGGAAAGTACCGGACAACAAAACCCCTTTTCTAGAGCCCTTTTGGAAATCATATCAGGGACTCATACCTTTGTTGCAATATATGTGCTTTCCATGTACACCCTTGCCTTGTTTTGTTTCATTTCTAGGCCAGTTCTTCACCACTGCATTATTCGCCCTGGCCCTGCTAAACGTGACGTCTATTATATCAGTTCATCTTTTCCACAGAGGTTCAAAACGTGACAAACTTCCACGAATGGCAAAATTGTTTACCATGAAAGTGGCAAAACTTGTTTGCATGGCAAACAGATTTGACGAAGTGGTCGACTTGTGTTGTTGTTGTAACAGCAATGAAAAAGAAAACACTTTGGAACTAAAGAGATGCGATAGGGTAGGTACACTCATTGTAGAGGCAGGTGAATCGCCCATAAAACGGTCGAGTGCGTGATAGTAACATGTTTTTGATTTGTCAAGTATGAACTATTATTTCATTGGTGTCACAATGAAATAATGTTTAATATCAAATAAATGTTATGTAACATAAAATATTTAATAAGTCACGTATTTAACATATTATAGTCATACATGAGCCAGGGCACAGAAAAGATGGTCTGATAACAGAATTTTTGTTTCTCTTAGAAAGCACCATTTAAGCCCTTTCAAATTAGCCATGGTCTTTTCCTTGCAGACCAAAAAGACGAATTTGAATAAACGCTTTTCATCTCAATCTTGGGCATATTTTTGGCTCTGTAGTACAATTAATTTTTATGTTTCTGACCGGGTCTCCTGTGTTGATGCCCATATACCTTATACATATTTTAATTTCAACTATTTCAGAAAGTGGAAAATGGTGTTTGTCTACGAAATAAGGAAAAACAAATAGCAAGTCAAAAATACAAAGAAAGCGACCAGGGTGCGACGAGTGGGGGCCCTAGTGTAACACAGTACGATCTTGTTCAACTGGTCTATGATATAAACAGCCATCTGACCAAGCTATGTAAATACAAGACAACATCACAAGGAGTTGATGCAACTAAAAGAGAATGGAAAATGGTTGCACTTGTTATTGATAGATGTCTCTTTATTTTGTCCAGTATTTTTACAATAGCTTTCTCATTGTGTTTTATCCTATATAAAGCTGAGCCTGATTGACTGAGACTTACCCTTTTATATGTGTAATATCAGATGAATAATATATTTATCACATTTGAATGTGTTAACAAGTTACTTAAATGTGTGGAAATATTACGATTCAATATGTGAAATATAACACTAACGTGTGGAATTTTTACACTTCAATGTTTGGAAGTATTGTAACAAATGTCAGGAGAGATGTAATAGTCTGGAACTAGAAGTAGAGTGAGATGAGAGAGTAAAGCCCAATATAAAACAACGGGGCAAAATATCACTTGCCCCATCGAATCCCATTGAATCCCATGATGCCCGGCGAGTTCTTGTTAACTTTGCCGAATCCTACGAAAATGATGATTAAAGGTCCAACAAACGTCCCGCGATGCCCCGTGTACTTCATTCCCGATGGGCTTCGTTGGACTCTGCCCCATGATGCCCTATCAAGCCCTCTGAGTCTCATGGTACTCGATTGGGCTTCATGAGGCAAGGTCCCACGAAACCTTATCAGACAAAGTCTAATTAAGTTCCACGAAGTCCCATGAGGTCTCACGCTATGTTAAATAAATACATCGTCCCACAGTGCCAGATTTGTGTATGTTGGGCTTGGGTTTAGCTAAGAGTTAGAGTGAGGAGTTACTTGGACAAGCTGAATTATTTTAATCAAGGAAGCTACTCAGTAAAATTTCTTTGCACCATGATGTCCAATCAAAATCATTCAAGCCAATAAAGCGTGCGGTTGGGTAGTTGTTTTCAATCCCGGATGTCAAAACGTCTTAGAAACACATACGCACTTGAAAAATCTTGATTGGACACCGTGATGCAGAAAAATCATAATTTTGCCCCCACAGGCGCCATTTTCCTGTACCCTAGAATTGTTCCCTGGTCCGCGCACGTGGTAGCAACATATTTTTAATTACGTCATTGACAAACATGGCTAAATGATGTTCTATTTATCCATCTTACTATCTTCTCCAACAATCACTATAGAGTGTAGATTTAAAATATCTTTAGAATAATAAGTCTAAAGCATATATTTTAAGCAGTCTTTATTGTAAAATCTTATTTATAACAATAAAATATGTATACATATTTTGCGATATTATTTAGATTGTATTGTTTGGTTAAGCAAAGCAGCATTCTTAATACAGCGTGACACAAAAATGTAACACATATAACATTCACTAAAAATTGTAATTCTTACATTGATAGCAAAATGTCAGTTCATCTAGAGACCTCTATTACTGTAGGATATAACTAGATCATAAACGTAGATGAGAAGGTACAACATGTTTACTAGATATGTCCTAAACTGATTAAATATGGATATTTCAACACTCAATTACAATTAAATAGGACCCTGGTGAATAATGGCAGAATTAGAATCCCTTTAAAATCTTATCAAAAGTTAATGCTATCTGGCATCCAAAGTGCTAACTGTGTTTATTTTCTCGAACCAGTTCACTAATTCAAAAAATAAAACCATTTATATTTAAGACGACTTCATCGATGCAAGCAACAAAGTTATTCCAAAATAGAGGCTTGCTTTTTGTCACATTGAGTTTTAAACATTAATTCAGTAACGATGGCATATGTTTCATAACATTATATTTACGAAACAATCTAAAATATGTATATTATTCACTTTAGCTGTGTTTATGAGTGTGCATAATACATACAGATGAATGACCAATATTTAACAAGATGCTTCTAAATCAAGACTATCGAGCTTTGTACGTATTACATTTGTTTGTTTGTCATATTTTACATCTATGAATGCTAAAACCTTAAACTCATTGATTTGCATGATGTTTGGTTCCGTATACATACTTTTCAAATATGACATATACATTTTTGAGGCAACCTATTGTAACAGTTAGGCCTTTTTGTGGATATTGTGGTAGTGTGGACTATAAAAAGACCACTGTTTAGTAAATGGTGTTTACTTGTGGATTGCACGGCACACGTTAAATGTGCTTTGTCCCTAAAGAAATAAACAAAATATACAATTTTATATATATAATATAAAACAATATATTGTGGCGTTTATAAGCCCAAATAAGATGTACATGCAATTTCAAATGTAATGTAAGAATATTACGGTGTTATTATTTCTCTCAAAACTCACAACTCAAAAGTCCATATGAGTTAATAATAATTATCACTGATAAAATAATATCCAGAGTCCATATAAATTGAAACTGATGATCACTATATAACACTATTGTATCCCGAATATGCAAAGTTCATGTAAATTGTACCACTTGTACGTCTTGTATTGTTATTGTATCTTGAACCTGGAATAGTAAACTGAGAGTAACAAAGTCTTGTCTCCTAATTTTGGAAGCAACTTTACACAAAATTCATAGTACCCATGCTGAAGCTTGGTGTGGATTTTAAAGCAGGGGTTGGCGTAGGGGGTATTGGAACTGCTGGAACAGGCGCTTCTTCGTTTTGAATCTTAATACACACCTGGGAGCATATGACTGACATCAGACATAAAAGTACAAATAAAATTCCACCCACGACCAAGATGATGAAGGGGATATCCAGTTCCATCCACTGTAAACTCAGCAACTGTCTTGTGTCTTGCTTCCAATGAAAATACTGATTCTCTTCATGTTGTTGTAGTATCCTCCACTGTGTTGTAGTATAATTCAACTTTGATTATGCGAAATAATCAAAGTCAAACTATCGGCTCTGTAAATGGCTATCTCCTGGATCCTCGTCACTGTGTTGTAGGATAATTCAACTTTAATTATATGAAATAATCAAAGTCAAACTATCGGCTCTGTAAATGGCTATCTCCTGGATCCTCGTCACTGTGTTGTAGGATAATTCAACTTTAATTATATGAAATAATCAAAGTCAAACTATCGGCTCTGTAAATGGCTATCTCCTGGATTCTCGTCACTGTGTTGTAGGATAATTCAACTTTAATTATATGAAATAATCAAAGTCCAACTATCAGCTCTGTAAATGGCTATCTCCTGGATCCTCGTCACTGTGTTGTAGTATAATTCAACTTTGATTATGCAAAATAATCTAAGTCAAACTATCGGCTCTGTAAATGGCTATCTCTTGGATCCTCCTCACTGTGTTGTAGGATAATTCAACTTTAATTATATGAAATAATCAAAGTCAAACTATCGGCTCTGTAAATGGCTATCTCCTGGATCCTCCTCACTGTGTTATAGGATAATTCAACTTTAATTATATGAAATAATCAAAGTCCAACTATCAGGTCTGTAAATGACTATCTCCTGGATCCTCCTCAAGGTGTTGTAGTATAATTCAACTTTGATTATGCGAAATAATCTAAGTCAAACTATCGGAATTGACAAAGTTTACGAACGTCTTATATGGCATCAACTGCTTAGTACACAAACTTCCTTCACAATTAAGTAATCAGCCTACCTAAAAATATAGCATGCGCACAACAGCATAGGCAAAAATATTACAAGTCAAAATATGTGCCCTTGAAAATAACTAAGTTCAGTTAATGTTGAGTTATACTGATATTGAAATATTCTAAGTTCAATATTTATTCTCTAAAAAAAACAACAAAGTCCAAAATAATGTTTCTCCAAATATTGACTAAGTTCAATAATTTCTATCTCAAAAATACGCAAAATGTGTTCATGAAATTGAACTGACAGAGCTCAGAAATCTAGTATAGGCTTGATGCTGCCTCCAAACACGGTACTGAATATTCCCTCTTGAGGTATCCTCTACACAAATACACGGGTAGATGGCCAAGTTATCATCTACAGAATCACGGTGTAGCAGTCTTCCCTCTCAGGTATCCTTCACCACAAGTAGATGTCCAAGTTATCATCCACTGAACTGAAGTGCAGCTATGTATCTCCTATCTGCCTCGGGAAATATTCAAAGTCCCAACAACTTTCTACTGAAAATTGTCAAAGTCCAAAAATATTTCCTTGAAAAATGACTAAGTCCAACTTCACATAAAAATATGAAATTGAACGGAGCTCTGTCCCGAACGAAAGCTAGCTGTAATCTGCTGAGCGCTCTCAGCTCGCTGCTTATATACCCAGCAGCGGTGCGGCGATGACGTCATCCACTTGTTTACATCAAATTCCAACTTCATACGATTGCAAGCTAAATAACGCCAAAATTACTCCCAAACATGAAATATAAATGAATTTAAATTACAGAGACATGAAATATAACAACAATTATGCACAGAATGACATAATAAAGAAGCTTTAATGAGTTAAAGTTATCCTCATGAATTTAATTCCAAAATGGCCTAGCGCCGCAATTCTCAACTTGATCTCTATATATCTCGAAAAGTATACGCTAATTCTATTCCAAAGTTACTCAATCAAAACTTGAGATCGTTAGTTATACTAATCTATCAAAACTATATAGAAATAAAGGCAAACTAACCTGTATTGGAACGATATGAGTGGACGATTCGAAAATGACGCACTAAAAACGTTGGTGGTGGTTACTGGATGTCAACTACCCAAACGTGAAACGAAAACACTAATTATATTAAAAATATACGAAATGACCGGAAGTAGCCAGTTAAACATGGTAAACAATTCACATACACAATTGTTAGACCAAGTAGGAATAAAAATAATTGCCCAAATATGTGTATAACTAGCAAGCTCAACTATAACCGGGGAGATTGCTGATAAAGTGCTGAAAACCTCCAAATACTAAGACCATAAAATTTTAAAAAAAAATAATTTGTTACACTATGTAATGCCAGCAAATTCTGATCGCGTTTTAAATATACGTATATTTGAGATAACAATTGCAAAAGAACACAAATATTATATTTTACTATATCGACTTGAACAATAGCTGGAGCTATAGTTTAGGGCAATATTGGCGGGACACACCGGAGTTTATCAAAAATAGGCCCACTTGGCGTTAATTTTTCACGGGTCGTTTATTTCAAAGAACTCAAAATCAATGCCCACGGGCCTTTATCAAAAGGAGAAAAGCATTTTTTTCAAGAGGGATTGGCTTTAATTAAGACTGAGGTG